GTGACAGTTAGGTTCACTCATTTCTGCTTGTTTTCAACTTTTAAGGGCTGCTGTATTTTATTTTTCATCCTTCCAAAGTCAAAACTATAAAACAGAGTATATCCAAGAAGTCTTTCTTCTATCTCTATCATCTTACCTTGTTCTCTCCCTCCCCCACAGGCAATCATTTGTTTTTTTAAATTTATTATTTCATTATTTCTTTCTGCAAATATAAAGTATGTATATATACTCTTATCCACTTCCCACCCTCAACAAAAGATTATACACAGTTTCTGTACTTTGCTTTTTTCACTATTAACAATAGCCTCCATATTAATCCATATCAGTGTATAAAGAACTTCTTTATTCCTTTTTATGGCTGCTAATATTTCACTGTCAGGCTACACAGTTTATTCAACTCATCCTCTGTGAAACACTTGTGCAGTTTTAAAGATGTTATTACAAATAATGGTGTAAAGAACACTGTTGTAAAAAGAAAAAAGAATACTGCTTCATGTTTTTGCCTATGTAATTTTGGGACAAATTCCTAGTAGAGGAATAATGATTTGTTGCTGTGGTAGCTGGGCACCATCTAGTTCTTCTGGCCTCATAGTCATATAGGCTGAGGATCGCATGGTGTACCAGTCATCAAGCTGCCCTTTTAAATCCCCCGTGCAGTTCTTTTATCATTTCTTCCATTTGCTTTAGCTACTCTCCATTCAAGAGTATGTTGCAGAGTCTCTTCTGACATCCATTTTGATCTTTTCTTCCTTTTAATGACCTTTTGCTTTCTTTACATTATGATGTTCTTGATGTCATCCTACAATTCCTCTGGTTTTCTGTCACTGGTGTTCAATGCATCAAATCTACTCTTCAGATGGTTTCTAAATTCAGGTGGGATATACTCAAAGTCATATTTTGGCTCTGGTAGACTTATCTTAATTTTCTTCAGCTTCAACTTCAACTTGCATATGAGCAATTGAATGGTATGTTTCACAGTCAGCTCCTGGCCTTGTTTTGACTAAAGATACTGAGCTTCTGCATCACCTCTTTCCACAGATGTAACTGATTTGATTTCTATGTATTCTGGTGAGGTCCACATATATAGCTGCCATTTATGTTGTTAAAAAAGGTATTTGCAATGAATAATTCATTGGTCTTGCAAAATTCTGTCATGAGATTTCCAGCATTATTTCTATCACCAAAGCTATATTTTCCAATTACCGGTGATTCTTTTTTATTTTCAACTTTCGCATTCCAATCACCAGCAACAATCAATACATCTTCATTGCATGTTTGGTCAATTTCAGACTGAAGAAATAGGCAAAAACTTCAATTTCTTCAATTTTTGCTTTGGTTGTTGTTGTTTGCCGTCAAGTTGGCCCCGACTCATAGCGACCCCTCCTTGGGTTTCCGAGGCAGTATCACTACGGAAGTAGGAATGCCCAACCTTCCTTCTGAGGAGTGACTGGTGGGTTTGAACCACCAGCCTTCTGGTTAGCAGTCAAGTGCCTTAGGCACTATGCTACCAGAGCTCCTGTCTTCCTTATAGGCATATGGATATTATCCTATCACTGACAGCACTGTACTTCAAGATAGATCTTAAAATGTTCTTTTTGACAATGAATGCTATGCTATTTCTCTTCAATTTGTCATCCCTGGCATAGTAGACCATATGACTATCTGACAGATATATAATTATTAAACAAATAATGATATGTGTATCATTACAATAATGATAAACAATGTGATTTTTTTAGATACTGCTGATTTCCCTTCCATAGGGGCATATACCATTTCACATTCCCATCAGCAATGGGAATACCTTTGTTAGTTGCCATCACGTCAACTGTGACTCATGGTCACCTCAAGTATGCAGAGCAGAACTGCTCCATAGGGTTTTCAAGGCTGTGACCCTTCAGAAGCAGATTGCCAGGCCTGTCTTCCAAGACAACTCTGTTGAACACCTCTTTGTACCACCCAGGGACAGTAAAAATACAGCAATATGTAATGTCCAATATTATAAGTATTGCTCAGTAAGTGATGATACATCTTCATGATAGGATATCGTATAGTATAGTGAATGAAGAGGTATTTACAGAGAATTTTTAGTAACAGGAAAAATGAGTATGATATAATTTTAGTGAGGGAAAAAAATATCCAGGATTATATGTATTATGGGAGCTCTGGTGGCGTACTGAGTTTGGTTTTTGGTTTTGGTTTAAATGTGTTATATACCAGAAGACAAGGGTTAGCCTTGGATCATTGACATAAACTTTTAGGAGGTGTTGTCTAACCTATGAAAGCAAGTCAAATGGAAGAGGAAAAAAAAAATAAGAATGCCCTGTGAATTGCGCTAAAGACTGGAGAGTCACAATTTATAGGAGATTAGATCTGTAGCAATTTAAAGATCATTTATTCCAGTCTCCTCATATTATGGTGAGGGAACTCAGGTCCAGAGAATGAAGGTGATTTGTTCAGGTTCACCCAGTCTGTGGATCCAAGATTAGGATACACAGCAATAAAAGACGAAAATGTGCAAAGACACGGGAAGAACATGCTTGGCATTTCTCAAGCTGAAAGCACTGAAGAAGAAATTTAAACCTTGAGTTGCAATACTGAAAGATTCTATGAGCAATATATTGAACGATGTGGGAAACATCAAAAGAAGATGGAAGTAATACACAGAGTTACTGTGCCAAAAAGAATTGGTTGATGTTCATCCATTTCAGGAGGTGGCACATGATCAAGAATCAATGGTATTGAAGGAAGTAGAAGCTGCACTGATGGAAGTGGCAATAAACAAGGCTCCAGGAATTGACAGGATACCCACTGAAATGATTCAACAAATGGATGCTGCACTAGAGGCACTCACTTGGCTGTGTTAGGAGACTTGGAAGACAACTACCTGGCCAACTGACTGGAAGAGAGCCATATTTGTACCCATTCGAAACAAAGATGATCCCAAAGAATGTGGAAATTATTGAAAAATATTGTCAATATCACATACAACTAAAATATTACTGAAGATAATTAAAAAATGGTTGTAGCAGTATATTGACAAGGAACTTCCAGAAATGCAAGCTGGATTCAGAAGAGGACGTGGAATGGAGGATATCATTGCTGATGTCAAATGGATCTTGGCTGAAAGCAAAGAATACCAGAAAGATGTTTACTTGTGTTTTATTGACTATGCAAAAGCATTCAATGGTGTGGATAACAAATTATGGATAACATTGAGAAGAATGGGAATTCCAGAACACTTAATTATTCTCATGAGGAACCTATTCATAGAATAGGGGGCTGCCATTTGAAAAGAACAAGGGGACACTGCATGGTTTAAAATCAAGAAGGGAGTGCATCAGGGTTGTATCCTTTCACCATACTTATTCAAGTTGTATGCTTAACAAATAATACAAGAAACTGGACTATATGAAGAAGAGCAAGGCATAAGGATTGGAGAAAGACTCATTAACAACATACTTTATGCAGATGACACAACTTTGCTACCTGAAAGTGAGGATGACTTGAAACACTTACTGATGAAGATTGAAGACTACAGTCTGCAGTATGGATTACACTTCAACATAAAGAAAACAAAAATCATCACAACAGGACCAATAAGCAGCATCATGATAAATGGAGAAAAGATTAAAGTTGTCAAAGACTTCATATTACTTGGTTCTACAATCAACATCAATGGAAGAAGCAGTCAAGATATCAGATGTCATATAGCATTGGGCAAATCTCCTGCAAAGGACCTCTTTCAAGTGCTGAAGAGCAAAGATGTTTCCTTGACGACTAAGGTGTGCTCAACACAAGCCATGGTATTTTCAATTGCTTCATATACATGTGAGAGCTGGACAATGAAAAAGGAACACCAAAGAAGAGTCGATGCTTTTGAGTTGTGTTGTTGGCAAAGAATGCTGAAAGTACCATGGACTGCTAAAAGAACTAACAAATCTGTCCTGGAAGAAGTGCAACCAGAATGCTCTTTGGAAGTGAGAATGGCCAGACTTCATCTCACCTACTTTGGTCATGTTGTCAGAAGGGACCATTCCCTGCAGAAGGATGTCATGCTTGGCAAAGTGGAGGGACAATGAAAATGGGGAAGGCCTCAACAAGATGGATTGACACAGTGGCTGCAACGATGGGCTCAGGTATGGCAAGGATTGTGGGGCTGGCACAGGACCAGGCAGGACAGTGTTTCATTCTGCTGTACATGAGGTTGTTATGAGTAGGAGATGACTCAACAGCACCTAACAACAACAATAGAGGATGACCAGATTTATCACAGTGTGTAAGAGGTCAGGCTCTGGAGCTAAACATAACAGAGCTTGAATTCTGGCTCCCTCCACCACCTACTAACTGTGTGACCCTGGGCAAGTTAGCTAACTTGTCTAAATTTGAATTTTGTCATATGCAAAATGAAAACAGCAACAGTTTTCAACACACAGGGTGGTTGTAAGTATAAAATTAGAAAGACTATGCATGTAAAATATTAATAGTGCTGGACACATAATAAATGTTCAATCATTGGTCTGTATCATTGTTATTTATGAGATATACCAAAAATACCAGTAATTGTTGTCTTTGGAAAGTAAGATTATGAGTTTCTTAACTCTTCTCTGAGGTTGTCAAATAAGAATAAAATAAAATAAAAAGAGAAATTAAACCATTTGTCCTACAAAGACTAGTTTGAGTTCCATAACCTCAATAAATCTTCTCCTAAGTACTTTCTCTTCTTTGAACTCTTACACTGTTTACTGTTAATCAATTAATAAATTTGAAAAATCACTGCACTGAGACCCAAAGAGTACCATGTTAGATACTGTGGTGACACAGTTAAATGTTATTTATTATCAGCTAAATTTTCATGTATATTAGTCACCTCTTAAATGAAGTTGTATATTGAAGGAAGAGTTTCCTTATATCCTCCATGGTGGCCAGCACTGATGGCTGATGAAGCCAGAGTTCCTTTACATAAAATATTGAATATTACATAAAATAACTGAAACAGATTGATGCAAATTCCTTTAATAAAGTATTTCAAAGACAATTTCATGTTTAACTAACTATATTGCTAAAAATTCATGTAAGAACACTTACTTTGAATTATTGAGAAAGATTTGAGACTGCTATTCCCTCTGCAGAAACACTATGCACAGATGCAAAATGATCAAATGCTGACATAATAATGAATCTCAAGTAAGTGGCGTAACCATCATGTGCCTGTAGGGGATAAATCAATAAAAATGCATTCAGCAGTCCTAGTTAGCTGTTAACAAGCAGTTAGCAGAATAAAAGGGTTTGATGCAAGAGTAATATTCTAAATATACAACAATATGTAAAATATAATATTCAGAACAGAAGCCAGCCACTTATAACAGAAGAGTCGTTCTGGCTCATACTGGCCAAGTATCAACCTTGGTTTGACAAAAAACAGGCAGGTGGAGTTGAAAATCTCCAACTGAACATTTCTGAGCAATTTTTTAGAAGGGTCTTCCTAAAATATTTTTCATGATACAAGGTTTCTTTTAGTTAATGATGCTTCAGAATTTACTACTCTGAAACATGGTTATACTTCTACATTTACATAATTTCTCTGGAAAGCAATTTGGTAATATATATAAAGAGCTATAAATAAGTTTATACTCTCAGATCTGGTAATTTCATTAATTGAAATTTAGTCTTAGAAAATAAAAAAAGGTGATGGGGGTGGTAGTAGAACATACGCATAAGAGATCCCTTATAATATTATTTATTACTTATGATGACTGCAGTTAGGGAGGAGGAAATTAGCTTAAATGTATGTGATTAGACAAATGTTATTTAAAAACTATAACAATGATGCTTATTTTATATATTAAGCAGTACATATATAAAACTATACAAACATTCTTACTATAGCTATAGAATGAATATGATTAACAACTAGAAGAGAATAAACCTAACAAAAGCAAGTTGTGGCAGGGTAATAAAATTATGGGTAATTTCCAACCTCTAATTTATTAATGATTTTCCAAAATCTGTATAATGCTGCAACCCCCCCTGATCCACAGTGAGCTCTAAAACAAAATATCAAAGAAAGCAGAACTTAATAAATATCTCTACAATCATAACCCATCAGGTAAAGATGGAGAAAAATAGGAAGATACAATTCAGTATAATTATTTTTCTGCTTCTTTTTTCCCCACTGGCCTCCTCAGTCATTGGGCAAATTCTGGTGGCAGAGAAGGGAATCAATGGGATTAAAAAATTCCCGTAGAATCTTTTCAAACACTGATGTCATAGCAGCTCCCAGCAAAATGTAAAGGAACTTAATGGACAAGAGCTCCTCACTTTAACCGTCATTTAGAAAACCTTAAACAAACACTACCACATTTAAAAAATCCACATTCAATTGTTTTACATTTTTGTTTGTTTTTGTCTAAAAACCAGGACCTGACAAACTAGCAGAAACAGAGGAAGTCCTGATGAGGCAGCAGCTTCCTTGTCAATAGACATTCATTCCACTTGACAAGCAAAGCCCAACAGAATGTTTTCAGAAAATACTGGTTCTCTTCCCAGTCACCTCTCTTTGGCTTATTTGTTGCTGATCCTATGCTCCAATTCCCCTGTTTGAATCTCTCTTGTCCTTTCATGCTTAAACTAACATCAAATTTTGGCATCTCCACCTTTTCTGATTCCTATTCTAAAAGGCCTACCAAATCAAATGAAAGAAAGGCAAAGCAAATAAATACTTCAAAATAAATAAATGAACACAAACAAAACAAGTGAATTCTGTCTTCTTGCTGTCATTCTTTCCATGATAGATAAGAGCCTAATTTATGAATCCTACATTAGGATTTTAATGTTATTGAGAATAACTTTCTCTTTTGGTTGATTACATACAGGACCTCCAATATCATGAACTTTCAATATCATCTTGTTAACTCTGTGAATATGGAGATGAGTTTATAGAATTTAAATACATTGTGCTGGTTAAAGATGTTTATCTCTATAAAGTATATGTACTTACCATTATTTCTTCATTTTGAAGTTGCCCCTCTGTGTGTACTAGATCTAAAACACAAATTTAACAGAAATGAGTTAAGGGCTGAAAATACGTGAGTACAGCTACTAAAATTCTTGTTCAGTAAACTACATGATAGCTGATATAGTTAAGACTACATTTAAAAAAATTATTAGTGTTTTGAGTTAAATTTGAGAAAAGACATAACATACAAAAAGTATGATAGATAAGCTATGAGTTGTAAAATATCTTCAGTGAGTATAACAAAAATCCCCACTGCTGTCAAGTTGATTCCAACTCATAGTGACCCTATAGGATAGAGTAGAACTGCCCCATTGGGTTTCCAAGCCTGTAAATCTTTACGGAAGCAGACTGCCTCATCCTTCTCCTTTGGAGTGGCTGGTATGTTTGAACCACCAACCTTTTGGTTACCAGCCAAGCACTTTAACCATTGTACCACCAGAGCTCCCTGGTGAGTATAAGCAAAGGAAAATGCAAACACAAATTAAACTAAAGGAATATAAAGTAAAGAAAGGAAAGAATTGATAAAGTTATCAATCCTTAAGGATAAAGCCACTAACAGTAACTGCAGGCCTGAAAAGTGCCATCTCACCATGCCCATGGGTAACAGCTAGAGCTCTAGTCTCGCAGTGAATTTTCATTATGATGCTGCATTATTATGTGGCCCATGAAGTGATCGCTTCTGGTGTCTGAGTTTTAAAAACCTTTGCTCACATAATTTTAGACAGATTAATTTATTTGGTCATGTATTAATGACAGAGAAACTGGTAAGAGCTGAACTCAATGAGAGCACCTGTTTTTCCAGATCTCACAATTTTCTACTTTTGCCAGGGTGCAGTCTTATCACTTTTCTATGACTCATTTTTGTGGAAAATATAGTAAAAGTGGCAAAAGCTGGAATCTATACAAGACGGAAACCTGTCAGAGAAGGAAAACTCAAACAGTTCCCATTAGTAAAGAGTGATAGAAAAGTGGTAAGGTGAACCTTGTCAAAGGTGGAAAATTTGTCATCTGGAAAAATGTAGCAGTCTCATCAAGTTCCAGCTCTCACAAGTTGTACCATATTTGAGTTGTTCTTCTATGACAGGTTTCTACATTACACACGGCTTTCACAGGTTTTACTGTATATCAAATATTCTTTTGGAAATATGGAATATTTAAGATATTTAAAAAAAAAATAAAACACCTCACTGCTGTCAAGTGGAATCTGACTCATAGCGACCCCTGCTTGGGTTTCCGAGGCAGTATCCCTATGGAAGTAGATTGCCCAACCTTCCTTCCCGAGGAGTGGCTGGTGGGTTTGAACCGCCAGCCTTCTGGTTAGCAGTCAAATGCCTTAGGCACTACGCCACCAGAGCTTCCAACTCATATAACAATAAGTAATTATTGACATTATTGTTGGGAGCCCTGGTGGTGCAGTGGTTACACCACTCAGCTGCCAACTGAAAGATCAGTGGTTTGAAAAAACCAGCTCCATGGGAGAAAGATGTGGCAGGCAGCTTATAAAGATTTTACAGCCTTGGAAACCTTCTGGGTGATTCCATTCTGTCCTAAAAGGTTACTATGAGTTAAAATCAATTTGATGGAGGTAGTTATTGACATTTAGAAATTTTATTTTGTATCAAAATAATAAATGTATATAATTTAAAAAGCCACCTAGTACAAAAAGGAAAGTCTCTGAGAAGACTGTATGTAATTTTCTGTTCCCCAGGGACCTTGCTCCCGAGAGGTAATATTTTCAATTTCTTATGGAGCTCTGGTAGCATAGTGGCTAAGACACTTGCCTGCTAACCAGACGGCTGGTGGTTCAAACCCACCAGCCACTCCTCGGAAGGAAGGTTGGGCAATCCTACTTCCGTAGTGATACTGCCTCGGAAACCCAAGGAGGGGTCGCTATGAGTCGGGGCCGACTCGACGGCACATAACAACAACAACAACATGCTGTTTTATCTGGAATTATGTTGTTGTATGTACTTAGGTGCTGTTGAGTCAGTTCTGACTCATAGTGACCCTATGTACAATAGAATGAAACACTGCCTGGTCCTGCATCATCCTCACAATTTTCACTATGTTTGAGCTCATTGTTGCAGCCACTGTGTCAGTCCATCTTGTTGAGGGTCTTCCTCTTTTTTGCTGACCCTCTACTTTACCTACCTAGCATGATATCCTTCTCCAGGAATGGTCCCTCCTGATAATATGACCAAGGTACGATGAGATCAAGTCTCACCAACTTTGTTTCTAAAGAGCTTTCAGGCTGTGCTTCTTCTGAGTTAAATTTGTTCATTTTTCTGGTAGTCCACAGTACATTTTTTGCCAACACCATAATTCAAAGGCATCAATTTTTATTGGTCTTTATTGTCCAGCTTTCACATGCATATGAAGTGAATGAAAATACCATGGCTTAAGTCAGGGCATCTTAATTTTCAAAGTGACATCTTTGCTCTTTAACACTTTAATGAAGTTTCTCACAGCAGATTTGCTCAATGCAATACATCATTTGATTTCTTGACTGTTGCTTCAACATCATGGGTGTTGATTGTGGATCCAAGTAAAATGAAATCCTTGACAATTTCAATCTTTTCTCCATTTATTATGATGTTGCTTATTGGTCCAATTGTGAGGATTTTGTTTTATGTTGAGCTGTAACCATACTGAAGGCTTTTTTGATCTTCATCAGTAAGTACTAAAAGTCTTCTAGATTTTAGTAAACAAGGTTGTGACATCTACATATCACAGGTTGTTAATGTAGTCCTTCCTTCAATCATGATGCATATTCTTCTTCATATAATCCAGCTTCTTCTATTATTTGTTCAGCAAACACAATGAATAAGTATGGGGAAAATATGAAACCCTGGCACATACCATTCTTGATTTAAAACTACACAGCATCCCCTTGTTCTATTCAAACAAGGTCTCTTGGTCTATGTACAGGTTACACATAAGCACAATTCAGTGTCCTGGAATTCCTAGTCTTTGCAATATTGCAAATAGGACTTCTAGGACATTTGTTTGTTATGATCCACAGTTTTTTATGATCCATAATTTGTTATGATCCACACAGTTGAATGCTTTTGCATAGATAATTAAACACAAGTAAACATCTTTCTGGTATTCTCTGTTTTCAGCCAAGATCCATCTGACAATCAGCAATGACATCCCACATTCCATGTCCTTTTCTGAATCTGGCTTGAATTTCCTCAGTTCCCTGTATACATATTGTGGCAACTGTTTTTGAATTGTTGTTGTTGTTGCTGTTATGTGCCATCGAGTCGGCCCCGACTCATAGCGACCCCTCCTTGGGTTTCCGAGGCAGTATCACTACGGAAGTAGGATTGCCTAACCTTATCTTTAGCAAAATTTTACTTGCATATGCTATTAATTATTTTGTTTGATAATTTCTGCATCCTGTTGGATCACTTTTCTTTGGAATGGTTCGGATGGCCAGTGTGGTAGTTAAGGCTGTGCGTCAACTTAGCTGGGCCTGGTTGAGTGGCTGGGCAGCTGGTGGTAGTTATTCCCCACGATGAGACTGGCATTCAACTCCATGGTAGGATCTACCACAAGCAGCTGAGTGGCTGCTTTAGGGATGTGCTCTGCTTCCTGTATGTAAGCAGCAGCTTTGGGAATGGTCTCCAGCTTATGGCACTCTTGAACCCTGCATGTAGCCATGTCGTTGTTCAGCAGCCTGTCATGCTCTGCCGACTTCAGGACTTTGAATGGACTTGAATTAATGGCCTGCCATGATTTGGTAACATCAGGACTGTGCCTTTTTACTTGTCAACCTTGGGCTTGTCAGCTTCAGCAGCCAGCAGCTGTCTGAAAGAAAAGCCTCCAGTTTCAGTGGGCCAGGAGCAGGAGGCAGAGCTGAAGCCCTAGGTTAAGGGGCTTTCACCCAGCCCCCTAAAGCCTCCAGACTGTAAGAGAATAAACTCTTGTTTGTTCAAGCATCCCATTTGTGGTATCTTCTGTTAGAGCGGCACTAGGTAACTAGAACAGCCAGGTAGCCATTGTCCAAACTTCTTGGCATAGATGAGTGTTTTCAGAGTTCCATGGACTTGAATTAATTTGTTGAAATATCTCAGTTGGTATTCTGTCAATTCTTGGAACCTTGTTTTTCACCAATTCCTTCAGTGCAGCTTGGATTTCTTCCTTCAGTACCATCTGGAATTATAATATGCTTGTATTTCCTTTTCTTGATTTATCCATTTTCTCCTACTTTATATTATGGTGGTTAAAAATTTAAGTCTTAAAACAAAATCCTCTTCCTCCTGCAACTTTTCTCTTCTCCCATCCTCTCAATTCTGAAATCAATACTTGCTGGTTACATTATGATGTCTATATAAATGTTATTTACTGGGGAACTAGGTAATAAATTATGATCACATTTTCTTTCTTACACAACTTCTCTCCACTGGGAGTTAATAACCACTTTTAATTTGCTTACATTTCTTTAATTTTGAAAAATTGGGAAAATCTCAAACATACATAAAAGAGGAGAGAATATAATTAACTTCCATATATACCCATTATCTAGATTTTACAAGTGCTAACATTTCACCATATTTCATTTATCTAATTTTTTTTTGTTGAAGCATTTTAAAGCAAGCCTGAGGCATCATAACAATTTACCTCTAAAAACTTGATTATTCCTATCTATAACATAAGGATATATTTTTTTTCAATTGTGATTTAGGTGAAAGTTTACAAATTCATTTTTCATTCAATATTTGATACACATTTCGTTTCATGACAGTGATTGCAATCCCCAAAATGTAACAGCTTTCTTCTCACTTCCTCCCTCTGGTTATCTTTTTCCTATGCCCTCCTTTCCTATTCTTTCCTGCCCTCTGAGCTATCTTCGTGTGCAAATGTCCTTGGTCTCCCATGGTTGACTGTTCTAAGGAATATATCTACCTCATGTAATTGTTCACCTTGTAGGCTGTCTTTCCTTGGGTGGAAGCCAAGAGAGTGGGTTCAGTTCCAAGCCCAAAGAGTGAGTAGGGACCATAGTCTCAGGGGTTTCAGCAGTATCTATCAGACTATATTATGCCAAAGACGAGTATGCCTAGTCTTTTTTTTTTTTTTTTTATGATTTCTAGTTTTATTCCACATTTTTCTCTCATTCTATCCAGAATCTCTGATTCAATCCCTTTCCAAGTGGTTGAAAGTGGTAGCCAGGTACCATTTAGTTCTTCCAGTCTCAGGTTCTTGTAGGCTGAGGTTTGCATGGTCCACTAGTCCCTTGGACTAATCATTTCCATGCATCTTTGATTTTATTTTCTTCATTCTTCTTTGCTCTGGATGCGGAGAGACCAATTATTGTTGCCTCTTAGCCACTTGCAAGCTTTTAAGACCCTAGTTGCTACTCACCAAAGTAGGATGTAGAACAATGTTTTTTTGTGTGTGTGTACTATATTATGCCAATTGAGCTTGATGTCCCCTGCGACCATGGTCCTGAGTCCATGGTCCCAATGACTCATTCCCTCAAGGTGTTAGGCCATGGCTAAGAAGTTATCATAACTTTGCCCCCTAAAAACTTAAGAATATATTCTTACATAACCATAATGCCATCATACTATAAAACGGGACTAGTAGTTTTGTCAGAATCTGTCTATCTTCATGGGGGATAATTACCAGGATCAGCCCAAAGCTGATCCCTGCGAGACAGAGGTCAGACATATCTCCACTCTCCAGCCTTTTTACCAATTTTGACACCAGCCATCCCTCCCATAGCACTCTCAATTTCTCCATTGGGTTCGATAACTCATTGCAATGGCCACACAGAACTCACAGATCATACTTAGAGTTCATTGGTTTATTAAGGAAACAACAACATACAACTCTGGACCAGATTTAGGAAGCATGTAGGCAAGATCTGGAAGGCTCTCCCAAAGTGGAGAGTACATCCCTCCTTTCTTCAGTGCAAGACAGCTCTCAGCTCCTCTGGGCTGTGGAAGGAAGTGGGCCCTTCTCTCTGCCCAATATGCCCCCTCTGAGCTGCAACCCTCCTCTCAGCCCACTCAGGACAGGATTTTTTCAGTCTCTTCAAGCTTCACCTCATTTCCTGAGGACAGGCCTTCGGCCTTCTTGCTGTCAAATTCTCCACTGCTAACTCACACAGCTCATATGCAGTATAACAGTTTTGTTCAGCTCTGTCAGCTGCATTCCCTAATCAGCTGCCATTACCACCAAGTGTGCTGCAGGCCCTCTTCCAGGCCTCTCACTGTCTTCAGTGATACAGCCTTGACCCATGTTACAGCTCTTCTAGGAGATTCCTTGCCTCCTCTCTCTTCCTTCTGCTTCTGTCTGCCAACCTCTATGGGGTTGGCTGCATATCTAAAACTCCTCATTAATTTTAAGGCATAGCCCTCCCATCAGGACCACAAACCAACCAATACCCTCTCAGTAGGTGACACATACTTTATCTGCATATCAGGCTATACTTACTTCATTTCCATAGTCTATGGACATGCACAGGAGCTCTGGTGGTGGGAGCTCTGGTGGTGTAGTGCCTAAGGCACTTGATTGCTAACCAGAAGCCAGGCCGTTCAAACCCATCAGCCACTCCTTGGAAGGAAGGCTGGGCAATCTACTTCCGTAGTGATAATGCCTCGTAAACCCAAGGAGGGGTTGCTGAGTTGGATCCTACTCAACGACAGTGGGTTTTGTTTTGTTTTGTTTATGGACATGCACAGTCTACAGACATTATGCTTGTTAAAGTACAGGGTCAGTGAAAAAGGGGAAGACCTTCAATGAGATGGACTGACATAACAGTTGTAACAATGGACTCAAATATAGCAATGGCTTGTGAGGATGGCACAGGACAGGGCCGTGCTTCATTCTGTTACATTTAGGGTTATTATAAGTCAAAACCAACTGGATGGCACCTAGAAACAACAACAACAACAACATGGACACTTTATTTGCATAGTATGAAACCAATCCCTGTGTGGTGTATATCCATTATATAGTACAGCCAGTATCCCAGAGCCCGACAAAAAGTATCAAACCCCAAGTTGTTTACAGCTTACTCATGAAATGTCAATCAACCTGGGCAAAAGTAGCAAACCCTCCAGGGTAGAAAACTAGGGCAAAGGTAACCCTTAAGGCTTATGGGAAAAATCTCTCAAGCTATTTTCCAAAAAACCAAGGCCAAAGACCACGTGAAGGAATTCATGTCACCACACATACTAACATTAAAAATGCTGCTTTATTTAATACCCAGTCCATATTCAAATTTCCCCAACTGCCCTCAAAATGTCTTTTTACAGTTGGTTTATTCAAATCAGAATTGTCTTTTTTTTAAATCTTGAACTGTTTTCTCCCTCTGCATACTTTTTTTTCTTCATGCCACTGACTTACTGAAGAGAACAGGTCAGCTGTCCTGTAGAATGCCTCACATTCTAAATTTGTCGTCTTGCCTCCTCACGGTTTCGTTTAACTTGTTTATCTTCTGTATTTCCTATGATTGGAAATTAGAGCTAAAGGCTTGATTATATTCAGGGTTCTAGGCTTTCATCAAATGTCTGGTCATCTTTGCCTGTCTTTTATTACTTATGAATAAATCATTTCAAAACTGTGTGCATGAGCCAGGCTTACTGACGGATAGACTTCAACAGGGTGATATGAGCAAAACAGCTTTTGTCAGTATCCATACGTCTTTTTCCTAGGGCCATTTACTTTCTATAGAGATGAATCCTCCAATCTTCTGTCTAGGGATGTGTTCTTAGCTGTTGTCATTAATCGCAGAGGACAGGAAGAAGGCTGGAGTTTCCATATTCAATTTGTAGGCATTCACTTAGACCTCCTATTTTCAACTCTTTGTCTCACTCATGATATGCCTGGTCTCCCAGAATACTAAGCTTCAATATTCAATGTTCTAGTTATCTCTTGAGGTTCAAGGTTTGTGGGAGAAAGTCACCTAGCTTTATGGGATAGGAAAAGGTACCTAGAGTCAAATAGCTCTGTATGTAGATGTTGAACTAACCACCTTGTTGTCTGCCCTATGTCTCACTCACAGTATCCATGGTACCTATTGCCTTCAAGTTCTAGACTTTTCTGAGGTTCTCTGGGACAAACTGTCTTGCTTCTCATTAATACTCTCCTTGGCAGGCACTTAGGTTGGGTTCTACCCTATTCTACTCAGCTACAGACGTTACCACACCTCTATCTGCTTTCCCTCTTCTGTACCATATATTTCTCTCTTATATTTGTTTTACTCTTATGAATTTTTGTTTCTCTTTTGTCCTTGTAGGATTATGCCTCTTTTTATTCTTTTACATAAATTATCTTCATGGTATTTTGGGAGGGAAAAGAAATACATGAAGGCAAAATGCTGTGCTTATATGCTACTGAAGGGACTTAAATAGTACCATGAATCAGGAAGGAAAGAAAGAAGACGATAAACTAATATTTATTGCTTTTTCTATGATATATAACAAACTATAATTGCATTAACCTTAAATGGTAAGTATCATCTCCATTTTTCAGATAAAGATTCTGAAACTCAGAAAAATTAAGTAGCATGTCAAAGGAAAAAAAATAAGTAGCATGTCGACGAAAAAAAAAATTAAGTAGCATGTCAACAGTTACATAACCAATAACTGAAAGAAAAGTCTTATGCTCAGACCTGGGTTTTTCTAGCCCCTAAATGTGTCACAGGTGTCCCTGGGTGGTACAAACAGTAAAACATTCAACTGCTAGCTGAAAGGCTGGTGGTTTGAAATGACCAGAGACACCTCTGAAGACAGGCCTGGTGATCTGTTTCTCAAAGGTCACAGCCTTAAAAACACTATGGAGCAGTTCTACTCTGCACATATGGGGTCACCATGAGCTGGAATCAATTCAATTGCAACTAACAACAACAAATGTGTCACAAGGGATCATTCAGCTTTTTTTCACCAAAATGCAGCCTTATTGGAAATATACAGTCAAAGGACATTTCTCTGCTCCCTCGTGCTCAGAACAAAGTGGGAGAAACAAACATACCTCTTTCAATCCACAGCTCAAAATTAACTGGCTCGTTAGATGTGCTCTTTTCAATCCTCAAGGTCCGCACTGATATTGTAAATAAGCAACATAAATAGTGTTAATTATCTACCTGATTCTATGTTCCTGTCCTTGAGACTCTTAAGCACTGGTGGGACTGCACAAAGTACTGGGATCAAGAATGCTATGTTCTGGAAATTACTCACTCACTTGCCCTGTGTTTTTCCATATGGTAAAACGGAGCTATGTGCAATGGTAATCTTACAAACGTATGCAACGATACAACCAATTGAATTTAGTATCATCCAGATATTTGTATACTGATAATAATAATAATGGTAGTATCAGTAGTGGTAGTGATAAACCATTATGGAAAAACTATTATGAGTTGTTGTTGTTGTTATGTGCCGTCAAGTCAGACCCGACTCATAGCGACCCCTCCTTGGGTTGGCGAGGCAGTATCACTACAGAAGTAGATTGCCCAACCTTCCTTCCGAGGAGTGGCTGGTGGGTTTGAATCACCAGCCTTCTGGTTAGCAGTTAAGTGCCTTAGGCACATGCTACCAGAGCTCCCATTATGAGTTAGTCATATATATATATATTCACCATCACTAACTATCTTAAGAGAGAGACATTATTAGCTTATTTTACTAACGAGGAGACAGGCTTAGAAAAATCAGACCACTTGTTCAATGATACAGAGCTAGTAAATACTAAAATTAGGATTCAAACTTCAGGTTTGTCTGACTCCAAAACCTCTATAATTATTAATGAGGCAGGAATGTAGTCATCTTCTTTTGCAGTGGTTTTTCTCCATTGTCCCCACACCCATTCCCACCACCTTAGATCCTTCTGTTCTGTGCCTCAGTGGCTGACCCCTGTGGACTATGTTATCTAGAGCTACTTGTCCACTGCTTCTGGTTGGATTTGGCCAATAGGAGGCACTGGGAGAGACTAGAGGACAGTGGGAAAGTGAGATCAGGCTATTTTTTTCTCCACTCCCTCCCTACTTAAGGCTGTTAATCCACACCCCCCACCTTCAATCCCAGCAATAAAATTGGGTTCCATGCTGTAAAGAAACACTAGAGTTTTGCCAAAAGATTGCAGATATGTCCTCTGCCTAAAAGATGATGAAAATTAATGTGTGATTTGCTTACCATAGTAACTTTGGATTACAAGCTTTTCAATCCTTACATGTCTGTGAAAACAAACAATGAACTCCTGAGGAAACATTCCTGTGGTGGTCCAAAATGTTTCTGGATTCCTATTGTGAATTTTAAAGAAAAAGAGAAAAGAATAGCCAAGTGAAAATGTTTAATCATAAAATTCTAACGAACAAGTATTTTTTAAATTAAATGACCACTAAATTCTTATACTGCCAACTCATCTGTTTATCATACTTCGGTGGCTTGCATGTTGTTGTGATACTGGAAGCTATGCCACTGGTATTTCAAATACCAGCAGGGTCAACCATGGTGCACAGGTTTCAGTGGCGCTTCCAGACTAAGACAGACTAGGAAGATAGACCTGGAAGTCTACTCCTGAAAAAAACTGGCTAGTGAAAACCTTACAACGGGCAGTGGAACAGTGTCTGATGCAGGACCAGGAGATGAGCCTCTCATGTTGGAAGTTACTCAAAATATGACTAGGGAAGATCTGCCTCCTCAAAGTAGAGTTGACCTTAATCACATGGATGGAGTAAAGCTTTCAGCACCTTCATTTTCTGATGTGGCATGACTCAAAATGAGAAGAAACAGCTGAAACATCCATTAATAATTGGAATGTGGAATGTGCAAAGTACAAATCTCGGAAAACTGGAAATTGTCAAATGAAATGGAATGCATAAAGATTGATATCCTAGGCATTAATAAGCTGAAATGGACTGGTATTGGCCACTTTGAATCAGACAGTCATATGGTCTATTATGGCAGGAATAACAAACTGAAGAGGAATGGTGTTGCATTCATCCTCAAAAAGAACATTTCAAGATCTATAATGAAGTATAGCACTTTTTTTAAAAAATTTATTTTTTATTAGTATTTTTTATTTTTGCAGTGTTTCCTCCCTTTCCTTCCCCTCCCATCCCTGGTAACCAACAAAGAAAGTTTACTTCCACATATAAACCTGACCAAAGCACAGCACTATCAGTGATAGGGTATCTATATACCTACAAGGAAGACCAGTTAATATGACTATTATTCAGATTCACACACCAACCACTAACGCCAAAGATGAAGAAACTGAAGATTTCTACCAACTTCTGAAGTCTGAAATTGATAAAAAAAAATACAAGCAAGATGCATTGATCATTGCTAGTGACTGGAATCTGAATATTAGAAACGAAGAAGGGTCAGTAGCTGGAAAATTCAATGCCAGAGATCGCATGATAGAATTCTGCAAGACCAATGGCTTAGTCACTTCAAATACCATTTTCCAATAACAATCAATGACTATATGTGAGCCTCACCAGATGGGACACACAGGAATCAAATTGACTACATCTGTGGAAAGAGCTGATGGACAAGCTCCTGAAATGGTTGAAAGTCGACCAAATCTTTTTGGCTACTCCACATTCAAGAGCAAGTTTCACACTGTCATTTGACATCCATTTTGGTCTTTTCTTTCTGTCTTTTTGAATGACCTGTTGCTTTCTTCACGATGTCATCTTACAACTTATCTGGTCTTCAGTCATTAGTGTTTGATGTGTCAAATCTATTGTTAGTATGGTCTCTAAATTCAGGTGGGATATACTCCAGGTCATACTTTAACTGTCATGGACTTGTTTTAATTTTCTTCAGCTTCAACTTGAACTTGCAGTTGAGCAATTGATGGTCTGTTCCACAGTTAGCTTCAGGCATTGTTCTGAGTGATGATAATGAGCTTTATCATCTCATTCCACAGATATAGTCGATCTGATTCCTGTATACTCCATCTGATGAAGTCCATGTGTACAGTCGCTGATTGTGTTGTTGAAAAAAGGTGTTTGCAATGAACAAGTCGTTGGTCTCGCAAAATTCTACCATCTGACCTCTGGTGCTGTTTCTACCACCAATGCCATATTTGTAGCTACTGATGCTTAGTCTTTGTTTTCAACTTTCACATTCCAATCACTAGTAATTCTCAATGCTTCTTGCTTGCATGTTTGATGACCTTCAGACTTCAGAAGTTAGCAAAAATCTTCAATTTCTTCATTTTTGGCATGATGGTTGGTGTGTGAATTTGAATAATAGTTACATTAACTGGTCTTCCTTGTGTTGTTGTTATTATGTGCTGTCACATCATCTCCGACTCAGAGCACCCTTATGTACAACAGAATGAAACACTGCCCATTCCTGTGCCAGCCTCATGATTCCTACTATACCTGAGCCCATCGCTGTAGCCACTGTGTCAATCCATCTTGTTGAGGGCCTTCCCCTCTTTCATTGACCCTCCACTTTGCCAAGCACAACATCCTTTCCAGAGAATGATCCCTTCTGACAACATAAGGAGAGTAGGTGAGATGAGGTCTGCCCATGCTTGCCTCCAAAGAGCATTCTGGCTGCACTTCTTCCAGAACAGGTTTGTTAGTTCTTTTAGCAGTCCATAGTACTTTCATCATTCTTCACCAACACCACAACTCAAAAGCATCAACTCTTCTTCAGTCTTCCTTATTCACTGTCCAGCTCCCACGTGCATATGAGGCAATTGAAAATACCATGGCTTGCGTTAGGCACACCTTAGTCTTCAAGGAGATATCTTTGTTTGTCAGCACTTGAAAGAGGTCTTCTGCAACAGATTTGCCCAATGCTATACGTCTTTTGATGTCTTAACTGCTGCTTCCATTGGCATTGACTGTAGAACCAAATAATATGAAGTCTTTGGCAACTTCAATCTTTTCTCTATTTATCATGATGCTGCTTATTGGTCCAGTTGTGAAGATTTTTGTTTTCTTTTTATTGAGGTGTAATCCATACTGCAGACTGTAGTCTTTAATCTTCATCATTAAGTGCTCCAAGTCATCCTCACTTTCAGCAAGCAAAATTGTGTCATGTGCATATCACAGGTTGTTAATGAGTCTTCCTCCAATCCTGATGCCATGTTCTTCTTCATATAGTCCAGCTTCTTGGATTACTTGCTCAGCATAGAGATTGAGTAAGTACAGTGAAAGGATACAACTCTGATGCACTCTCTTCCCGATTTTAAACCATGCAGTGCATGTCCCCTTGCTCTGTTCAAATGACAGCCTCCTGGTCCATGTACAGGTTCCTCAGGAGTACAATTAAGTATTCTGCAATTCCCATTTTTCTCAAGGTCATTCATAATTTGTTATGATCCATACCATTGAATGCTTTTGCATAGTCAATAAAACACAAGTAAACGTCTTTCTGGTATTCTTCGTTTGAGCCAAGATCCATCTGACATCAGCTATGATATCATTCTTTCCATGTCCCCTTCTGAATCCAGCTTGAATTTCTGGAAATTCTCTGTCAATACAATGCTGCAACTGTTTTTTAATTATCTTCAGTAAGATTTTACTTGCGTATGATATCAATGATATTGTTCGATAATTTCCACATTCTGTGGGATCACCTTTCTGTGGAATGGGTACAAGTATGGATCTCTTCCAGTCAGTTGGCCAGGTAGCTGTCTTCCAAATCTCCTGCCATAGCCAAGTGAGTGCAGCACGTGTTTGTTGAAACATCTCAATGGGTATTCCCATTCTTCCTTGTAGGCATATAGATATCATTCTATCACTGACAGTGTTGTACTTCAGAACAGATCTTAAAATGTTCTTTGTGATGATGAATGCCACACCATTCCTCTTCAATTTATCATTGCCAGTATAGTAGACCGTATGATTGTCCAATTCAAAATGGCCAGTACCAGTCCATTTCAGCTCACTAATGCCTAGGATTTTTATCTTTACGTGTTCCACTTCATTTTTAATGACTTTCAATTTTCCTAGATTCTACACTCCACATGCCGATTAATGGATGTGTGCAGCTATTTATTCTCATTTAGACTCATGCCACATCAGCAAATGAAGATCCTGAAAGTTTTACTCCATCTTATTAAGGTTAACTCTATTTTGAGGAGGCAGTTCTTCCCCAGTCATTTTTCTTTTTAACTTTTTATTGTGATTTGGATGAAAGTTTACAGAGCAAATTGGTTTTCCATTCAACAATTCATATACACTTTGTTTCATATCATTGATTGCAATTCCCTCACTCCTTCCAGTCTCTCTGTTTCTTGTTTCCTTTCTTCTTCTCTCCTAACCGTTCCTGCCTTCTGAACTTTGGCCTTGGGTAAATTCTGACTTTTGAACTTGAATGGTTATTGTTCCAGGGAGTGCCTACCTTCCTGGAGTTATTGTTCACCTTGTAGACCTCGTTTGACTGAAAATTCAGCTATGGGAGTGAGTTTAGTTCCAGGTCCGAAGGGTGACCAAGGGCCACAGTCTCCCAGATTCCACAAGTCTGGGAGACCAGTAAGGCTGACCAGTAAGCCTGATCTTTTTTATAATTTTGAGTTTTGTTCCACATTCTTCTCCTACTCTATCCAGGACCTTCTAATATTATCCCTTTTAGCATAGTTGACAGTGGTAGCCAGGCACCATCTAGTTCTGCTCTCATGCTCATTGAGGCTGCAGCTTGTGTGGTCCATTAGTACTTTGGACTAAGTATTTCCACATGTCTTTTATTTTCTTCACTCTTTGTGGTAGTTAAGTTTGTGTGTCAACTTGGCTGGGCCTGGTTGAGTGGCTGGGCAGCTGGATGTAGTTATTCCCCATGGTGACATTGGTAATTAACTCCATGGTGGAATCTACTGGAGCAGTTGAGTAGCTGCTTTAAGGATGTGGATTGCTTCCAGTATACAAGAAGCAACTTTGAGGAAGGTCTACAGCTTTTTGGCATGCTTGAACCCTGCATGTAGCTGAGTCATCGCTCAGCACCCTGCCATATTGCCCTGCTGATCTTGGGACTTTTAATGGACTTGAATTAATGGCCTGCCGTGTGGTTTGGTGATATCAGGACTGTGCCTTTTCACTTGTCAACCTTGGGTTTATCAGCCTCAGCAGCCAGCTGCTGCATGAGTGAAGAAAAGCCTCCAGCTTCAGCAGGCTGGGAGCAAGAGGCAGTGCTGAAGCCCAAGGTCAAGGGAATTTCACCCAGCCCCTAGAGCCTGGTACCTGGAACTCAGACTTCTAACCTCCAAAACTGTAAGACAATAAACTCCTATTTGTTAAAGCCATCCCATGTGTGGTATTTTCCTTTCAGAGTAGCA